AAACATACAAGCTCGCGCACATCATAGGCCGTCACAATATGCGTTTTTGCCGGTGCAGTGCTGCTACGTTGAGCAAGAACGAATATGTTAAGAAGTCGCCCTTGTGTGTGTGCGTGTGTGTGTGTTCGGAAGCGAGTGTACTTTGTTACCCATTTTCAACTCAGCAATCAGGGAAGCTTGAAGGCTGGAATTTTGGGGGGATTTCAAAACGTGGAGTTGACGCATTCATGTATCATTTTCCCGTTTTAAAATTTTCGTTCGTACGCACCCTAGGACTCGCACGCGGACCCTCAAAACAATATGCAAATTTCTTTGCCGGAGAACGATTTCGTAATCCAGACAAGACAGAAAGCTGAAAATTTACATGAATACTCTGTGTGCATACGTGATCTAAAGATTTCAAACTCGGGTATCGCACACGCATGTACCAGGCGTATGGCCAAGTTAAAATTCGCAGTTAGCACAGTGCAACTCTAAAACTAGTCAGAAAACAATAGCTGAAATTTTGTCAGAATATTTATTGTTCATATAGAAAGTCATATACCTTAACTGAGTTTCGATTTGTATTTGCGCTGTAACTTAGGGCATTTCAAAGATATCTGTAGTGAAGTAGCTATTTCGCGTCCCAGACAAGCTGCGAAGCTGAAACTTTACAAGGATATTCTTTATTCACGTATGGTCTTAATTCAGCTTGGAGGTGAAATCCCTTGCACGCGGTTATGACAAATACTCAGTTTTATCGCAAATTCAAAAGCGAGTGCACTGTGCGGGTTTCGTAATCTTCCAGCTTCTTCAAATTTGTATTTTTCGACGAATAACCGTTCAATGAAAAAGCGACCAGACTTCATGCAAAAAGTTGATAATCATGCATTTTGAGGGCCCACGCACTCCCTTCATCTCAGCTGACGGCTTTTCCCCATGCATGCGGAAAGGGTCCAGAACAGAACCAGTATGAAACAAAGTGTTAAATTGCCGCGCAGAAACCATTCCTGCTGTTAATAATCTGCAAGTTTAGCGCAAAGACGGATGATCGCATCGGCAAGCGTGTGAGATGCAGCCTGGGTTGCATTTGCACACGTACAAAAACGCATAAAAAGGAATTGCGCGGTGGCTATGCGATGGCGTTTTCTAGGCTATTAAAGGAGGCACAGAGAGCAGCACCCAAGTTATGGTCAGTAAGACCAGATATCCATTAAGAAGCAAGTAGAAGCCAAAAATCTCAGACTAGCAACTTTTGTTTTCGAGTGTTTTGAAGATTTCAAGAATATTTTGCAGCGTTGTGCCCGACCGCTTCAACACCGTTCATCTCAGCAGTATCGCTGCAGCCGATGCAATGCACGCCGAATGTGGATGGTGCATGTCCCGGGAATTTCTTTTGTTGGTTCTCCACACGCACTGCAACCGTTAATACATACTATTGCTGCCGTTCTCCAGACACGGCCAATGTTGGGTGTAAGCCATTTTCAGAAAGCCACCATGGAGTAGCTTCTATTATATATACCCTTCTGTTTTGAGTTGGTAACTTAAAACTGCGGATATGAGGAAGGACAACAGAAGTTCCCGGAAATGACTTGAAAGAGTTTAAAAAAACAATGATTTTTCAGTTTGCCCTCCAGAGCTTGTGCCTGTGTCTGGTGACGATGGTGTCCAGTATCGATACTGTAGCCCGTTGGCTGCGCTGAACGACACATCAAGGGGTTGCGGTACC